AGCCCAGTGCACAACCCAGTGCACAACCCAGTGCATAGCCCAGTGCACAACCCAGTGCACAGCCCAGTGCAGAGCCCAGTGCATAGCCCAGTGCACAACCCAGTGCAGAGCCCAGTGCACAACCCAGTGCAGAGCCCAGTGCACAACCCAGTGCATAGCCCAGTGCATAGCCCAGTGCACAACCCAGTGCATAGCCCAGTCATGCTCACAGTCATACTCACAGTGATGAGGACAGGACTGCACAGCAATCGGCATGACACTGACTCTCGCACAATCCGATTTCACAGAGTAGCACATGATCGAGTAGCATTGGAAGAATTGTAGCCGAGACCGTTTTTGGGCTGTAAAAGTACATGTATATGGTTGTGTGAGAGCTAAAGTGGCTACAGTGGAGTCTACACAATTTCACATGTATACAGATATCTCTCTTATCTGAGTAGTCTTGGACCGCGCACTGCCCAGAACTAGGAAATGCCCCTAACTCCGAATCGCGTACATTTTGATGAGAAAGGGCTAGACATCTGGGATATGATGTCACTCTTTCAACAAAAATTGGCAAAAGAGTAGTAATATTTCCACTAAAACTCGCCCAAAGGGTGCCTGGTAGACCGAGGTGCCCCGTAAACTCAGAGTCCGAGTTAGAGAGGTATGAGTGCAGAGTGAAAGGGACTGTGCAGCCATTCCAGGACTTACACGCTGGCACATACTGCAGGCATTCGACAGTTGCTTCCGTCGCATCCTGCTCGGACGGGTTGAAGCGCTGCATCAACGCCTGCACATCACAAACACACACACACACACACGTGCACGCACGCACGCACACACGCACACACACACACACACACACACAGCAGTAGCAGCATCAGCAAGAAAGAAGAGAGTACAGCAGCCGTCAAGCCAATGCCCGGCCCCTGTGTCTACACTCAAAGGGCAGTGAAGTGTACACAGTTAAAGGGGAAGTTAAGCCTAAAAATCAAATCTTCACCAGTTGTAGTCTTCGGGGTGCGGAGTCGAATGGTCTTGGTCCGAGGAAACTGAGACGCTCCCTTCCTCCTTTATTCCCAATCGAACTTGCCACTTCCACCGAAACTGCGTGACTGCACACTACTAGATGGCGATTTGTATGCAAAATGTCACCAAAAGCGCCATTTCGTTCTTACAAAAGCACGGATGAACCTTGGTGTGAAAGTTGTAGCCTGCAGGCACAGGCCACTGGTGTACACACGAGCGCGTGACCGCTGACTCAACCGTCACTAAAACTAGCTATGCACACAAGTGTATGCAGGAGGCGGCAGAATAGTTTTTCATCGCATACTTGTGTGCGCATAGTTAGTTTTAGTGATCACTGGCAAACGCTCAGGTTCTGAGAAGCCGGTGGATTGCCTGGTGAGGCTAACGCATCCATCCATTGTTGTCCGTTCACTCTTGCTCAAGTACCCGTACAACGCAGCACACGCACCGTGTTGCTACATCATTTTACGCAAATATCAGTAGGATAAACAAATGCATCACCTGGGGCCTTCACCCTGGACCCCCGCCATAGCAACCCCGGTATACACACGCACACAAGGGGCACCGTTAAGGGGCCGGTCCAAGGTTACCAATAATATTTTCAAAACGAAAAGATTTCGTTTGGGGGTGGGTGGGTTTGATGGAGTTTCGTTTTGAAAATAATTATTGAATGCGGATGGAGAATGCCCAGTTATTTTTGGGTGTCGAAAATTGACATCAACATTTTATTGGACTTCCTTTTACCAGCAGAAAAGGTGGGTGGGTGGGTGGGTGGGCGGGGGCTGAAAAATACCAAAACTTTTCGTTTTGTAAAAACAATCGGTAACCCTGGACGGTCCCGAAGAAAAAAATCACGTTTTTGCGTGAAACTCGGACTGAGTTTTCTGATTTTTCCGATTTTCCGAGACAGAATAATGATTTCATTTAGCACATGCCTCCAAAATCGGCAGGCTACTGACATGTCGGCAGGTGTGGCAACACAGCACACAAGAGAGTATCAGCTGTCTTGGACAAGTTAGATGTGCTTACAATTCCAACATCGGGAGGAACTACAGGTAACTTGAGAGATGTGTAGTGCAGCATGGCCTGCAGAAACGAGAAAATGAGGAAACGAGAAAAAAACACAAGTCATGCTACATCCATGCATACCTCATGAAACATGGATACGCAGATAAACACACAAACATGCAGACATGCAAATATACAGCCAATGCCGTATTTCCCCGATTATCAGTCACACTTGATCGCAACCCAATTTCAGGTCTGAGCCAAATTGTTTCATTATTCACAAAAGCAGGAAGTCACAGTCGATTGTAAGTCTCACAGACAAAATTCCACTGACACTGGTCAATGAACGAACAGACACGCATTTGGAAAAACGAGACGTTCTGACGATCTCTCACCGCCACATCCAGACTACGTCGAAGCATTCAACTTGCATTCGTCTATAGTACTGTAAAAGCCATATTTATAACGAAATGCTAATTCT